AATAAGTTTTAGGACCTGAAAACGAACTCAATTAAATGATGAATTTTCTTTTCTTCCCTCTCATTATGAGCATAAAGGATTTTTCATTCTTTTTTTCGTAAATGGCATCTTATGTGCAAACCCTATCCATTAAGCGACTAAATTGACCCCTTTAATGAGCTTTATACCGATTATCCCTAGTCAGATGACCATAGGCACTAGGATATGCGAAACCCCTCAGCTTAATTACTCGAGTCAAATAGGCTTCGAACAGAGTATAAGATGAATCAATTAAGCACTCATCTTTTATTTTGATCATTTTTCAATCTTAAGTTCACCAGTGCAGGAAGGCCATCATGAGCTAAGATCTTCTAAATGTAGGTCAATTCATATTCGAGGTCACCTTACTAGCACGTGGCTACCATCCCAAACCTCACACACGCGATTCAGAATTAGTTAACAAGATTATAGTGTATGCAGTGCGAATGAATACATAACGACACATATACTCAATACTCCACATTAAACCAAACAACGCAATGGAAATAACAGTACAACACAGATAATTGCTTACTTGATTTCACAAAACTGGTTTAAAATCAAAATGATGTGTCGTTTGCACAAACAAAAAATGTTTTTATATATTTCACATTTTTCAAAACCTTTTTTTTAACCTTTTTCAATGTTTTTTGATTTTTTTTTGATTTTGAATGAAAACCTCACAAAAACAAAATGAATATCAAGTACACAAGACAACTAAAAAGCAGACATCAATTAAAAGCTAAACAAACGACAAAAAAAAATAAACGCATGCAAAGTGTAAGATGGATGCAAAATACACCAATGTAATGGACAATGCATGCAGATACCCACAAATGGGATCAATGTGGTGCATAAGTACCAGCGACTGCCATACGGTCAAGATCAACTTTCTTGACACATGTCTTCCTAGAAATGGAAGTTGCCCTAGTCAATTGAGAGATCATCTTAGTCAGCTGAAGAACTTGACTGGAAAGATTATTGACCTGATTGAGAATATCCTGATTTTTCTCACTGCGCACACACATATGACACCTCCACCTAATGTGACCCAAGGCACCACAACGATGGCAAGTGGGTACAAATCTAGGCTCAGACACATACGATTGTTGAAAACGAACTTGAGATGCAGTGTTCTTACGAGGCCTAGGTGTTCTCTGTCTTATGACACACTCAGCTCTAGGGTTAGGATTTCTAGCAATGTGTGGCTGAGTAAAAGCAAGAACGAAAGAAGTCTTAAAGGTACTAGCAAAATTGGAATTGTTCTTAACATAACATAAACCTCGTCTATCACCTACATGCTTGTTTATACCTAAAAGACTATCAAGTTTCTTAGTCGCACTGGAGAAAGCCTCAAGTTGAGA